ATATCACAAAAAAAAAAACTATTATCTTTTTTTTTTTTTTTTAATGAGAGTTTTACTAACTTTGTAACTAAAAATTTAAAATTTTTAATTTAAAACTAACTTTGTAACTAAAAATTTAAAATTTTTAATTTAAGATTGAAGTGAATTTTTTAATTCAACTATTAGGTGACTTTTTCTAGATCATGTGTCTTTGAATTTCCATAAATTTTGACTTTTCATTTTGTGGTATAATTTTTTAAGGACATATTATATTGCCCTGCAGTGCAGTTATCAACTTTAACGAATATGCTTAATCAATTAATTGTCATTTCATAGAAATCTTTTTGGGTTAGTTATTTCATTTTTGGTTTTTATTGTGAGGGTATTTTTGGGTAATTTTTTATATATTTTCAAATTAATATATTTTAAAACAATTTTAAGATGTAATTCTCATGTTATTTTGATATATTTATTAATTTATTAAATATTAATTTCAAGACTTAAATTTTAAACTTAACATATAAGATAAATTTGGTTACCAATGGCTCAAACTATTGGGTTTGGTTAGCTCACGATGATTCTACAATTTAACATCTGATATTTGTCTATATTCTATTGATGATTAGACTCCAAGATGCTCCCTTTCTACTTCATTATAGTATTGTTTGAGAACACTTCTCATATTTTAGATTTTAATTTTTGTCTTTTATTATTTTAAAATTTCAAATTAAAATAAATATTAAATAGATATTATATATTTTTAAGATGTTAAATTAAATTTACCTTCTCTATTAGTCACAAAACTACTTAGTAGTAAAGAAAAATATCTTTCGTTGTTTACATTATAAAAAACGGATTCTTATTCCTCTAAATTTGTAAAAATGATATAATAATTCACATAACATTATAAAATTTTAATATAATTTGTTGTTATATTATATTATATTATGTGTATATATAATGTGATATTAAATAAATATATATAATATCATGCGTATTTCTTAAATTTAAAAAATACTAAGAATAAAATGCATAAATATTATACCTAAAACATTACATACACAACATTTTCTTATACATTCCAAATCAAAATTGTTTGAACATAACCCCTTTTTTAATTATGGTAAACTATTAACTCTTCATTATAGAGGTACATGAAATAAATCCTATTCTTCAGGCTTTCCGAATGACCAAACTGACAAATCTCTGTATACAGTATTTATCTCTCTTTTCCCCAAAATAAAAACTGACCAAACCAATTCACTATTCAGAGTCTATCTTTTCTCCAAAGTCTCAAAAATCAAAATCCCACTTTGGAATGGAAATTCTTTATTCAAAAAGGCAACAGAGTCCCTCTGAAACCTCTGACCCGATAGTTTAGTCACAAAATCTGCATGTGTACGTCGTTGCTTACCGCTTCCCCATGATCTCTCCCTTTAATGCTCCCATTTTTTTATATATCAAACAAAACAAAGAAACAGTATCCCCTTATACCTCCTTTTTTCTCTCAGTCTTTCCTTTTTCAAGGTTTTCAGTTAATCAATTCCACATCTCCTATATATACACACGCCCCTCTGACCTCCCCTGTTGTCCTCATGTTCCTTAATATTATAGCAGCACCAAGAACAAGTATATAAATTAAGGAGGAGATATAGATAGACTAAAGGGAAACCCATTTGAGTTTTTGGATTTTCAGAAAAGGGTTTGTTTTGGTTTTGATTTTTAGTTTCCGGGATCATCTGGTTTTTCTGGGTGCTTGTGGCTTTCTGTTTCATGGCTATACAGGCGCAGTTGTATTCGGATAATTTTGGGTTACCCTTGTGCGGCGGCTCGTCGGAGTGGATAGACAATGGCTTTGGTGGGTTTAATCCGTTCTCCTTCAATTTCCAGCCGCAGAAGCAACAACAGTTCCAAGAGCGTGAACGGATGTTACAGTGCCTACAACATCAGCAGCAGACGAATCAAACTCTGTTTTTCGATTCGGGTTCTACTTTGAGGAACACAAATTCCACCATAGTCGTCAATAATGTAGAAATAGTGGGGTGTTTTGAGAAGCAGAAACAGGAGATCGATTACTATATCAGATCACAGGTAAGAATTTGTACTATTCTTCTTTTTCAATTGTAATTGGGATCTCTTTTTTTTTTGTGTACTTTGAATACTAAAATTATCAAATTACCTTTCATGTTTATTCATGAATGATGTTTTGATAATTTTATTTTCCAAATTGCACAATAAAAGTGCAACTTATATCTGAAAAACATTTTTCTCAATTCCAAAACTATATTATGATTTTACAACGATGACCATAATGACTAACCGATGGGCTCGCATTGACCAAAGATAGAAGTGTTATTATTGTCATTTCAAAAATGGATAGAAGTGCCCTTACGTGTCAATATGCCATCGATTTCATGTCACTATTTTCCTTCCCCCCCAAAAAAAAAAAAAAAAAACCCCAATCTCATCTCAGCCCCTAAATATAACGCACGCTATCTGAAAAGGCAACAATCCACTAGTTATTCTATCCACACTATTATTGTGTATTGCTTACAATCAATAATATCAACGGCTGAAAATGAAACTCTTCAATTGATGTGTAAATCCTGATTGGGTGGATCAATTTAATACTGTGTTTCGCACCACACGTAAATCAATCACATATGTAAAGAAAGAACGGGGTAACTGAAATTTAGAGGGCTCTGTTTATTGCTCTGCTTTTCTGAGACAAAAAACTCACTGTTTTTTATCACACTAGCAGAGCTTCAATGGCGAAACCAGTACAGATTGAAGTGTGGAACCCAAAAGGGAAATACAGAGTCGTTAGCACAAAACCCATGCCCGGAACTCGCTGGATTAACCTCTTAATCGAGCAAGATTGTCGCGTCGAAGTAATTCTCCATTTTCTATATCTATTTTCTTCCATTTCTTCTTCACTTCCTTTTTCATTGAATTCCGTGTAAAATTGATGGGTTTTGTTTCATTTTATTGGTCAGATATGTACCCAGAAGAAAACGATATTGTCTGTTGAGGATATCATTGCTTTAATCGGTGATAAGTGTGATGGAGTAATTGGACAGGTAAATTTTTAACTCGAAATTGGTTTTAGGATATGGGTTTTGTTTTTAATGTGTTTTTGAGATTTGTGTTCAGTTAACTGAAGATTGGGGCGAGACTTTGTTTGCGGCCTTAAGTCGAGCCGGTGGCACAGCATTCAGCAACATGGCTGTGGGTTATAACAATGTCGATGTTAATGCTGCTAACAAGTATGGTGTTGCAGTCGGTAACACTCCTGTGAGTTCACTTTTCTTGTTGTAATTTAGTTTAACTATGTTATTCCTTTCATATTTGTGATTTGGATGATAGTGACAATTGTTAGAAAGTTTAATTAGTCTAATGTCTTTGTGGCGAACTAAAATGTTGGGTAAATATATGTCTGCTCATTTGGTTAGGGGGTACTCACTGAAACAACAGCAGAGTTAGCAGCTTCACTTTCTTTAGCAGCGGCTAGAAGAATTGTTGAAGCTGATGAGTTTATGAGGGCAGGCTTATATGATGGATGGCTTCCTCATCTGTATGTCATCAAGATATAAATCCCATCCTTCACTGTTTCTGGTCTCTATACGTTTGATATATAAGGATGGTAAACTTCAAATCTTTGTTATATAAGTAGTTGGGTGATTTAGCTGAGTTCTTTTACAGGTTTGTTGGAAACTTGCTTAAAGGACAGACTGTTGGTGTGATTGGAGCTGGTCGTATTGGATCTGCTTATGCTCGAATGATGGTAATTTCTTATCAAATGATTTCTCACAACTTATCTAGGATTTGATGATCTTTCTAAAATGGACATGTGATGATGGCTAGGCTTGAGTGTATTGATGAGATACATTAACTTGTTTAAGAGACTTGAAAAACATTTGGACCAAGTAGAATTTAGTAGCCTTAAATATTTGATAGAATTACTCTTGGAGTCTCGGAGATGTGAGACTGCAGTATTCAATATGAAAATGAATGCTAAAACTTTGTCACTCGAATTCTTACTGATGGAACATAGGACAGTCTTATTGCAAAGTTATTATCATTATTCTTTCAGTCTTCCCACGAACAGCACTGTCTTGCTAATTAAAATACTGTTCACTTGGTATGGTGAAATTTTAGGTTTACTTTATTGTATTTATGACACTAACTTAGTTCATCTTCTTGATAACAGGTTGAAGGCTTCAAAATGAACCTAATTTACTATGATCTGTACCAAGCTACACGCTTGGAAAAATTTGTTACAGGCATGTCTAGAATCTATCTATTCAATTTTATGATTCCTGAAATCCTCTTTTATAATACTTATGTATTCTTGCACTGCAGGTTATGGTCAGTTTTTGAAAGCCAATGGAGAACAACCTGTTACTTGGAGAAGAGCAGCAACAATGGATGAGGTGCTTCAGGAGGCAGATGTGGTTAGTATAAGGTTGTTAATGGATAGTCCTTTCATTTCAAGTTGGAATTCTGGCTGCAATTGAAAGACTTTTTATTTGTTCTTTTTGTAGATAAGTCTTCATCCAGTATTGGATAAAACCACCTATCATCTGATCAACAAAGAACGGCTTGCAACGATGAAGAAGGTGAAATTAAACCTCATTTGTATACTTGGTCTTAGAGTAACTTCGAAGGTTTTCCCAACTTTGTAAAATGCAAATTGCAATTGATATATGTAGGAAGCAATCCTTGTGAATTGTAGCAGGGGTCCAGTGATAGATGAAGTAGCTCTTGTGGAGCATCTTAAACAGAATCCAATGTTCCGTGTTGGCCTTGATGTCTTTGAGGTACTACATATACTTATCTCAAACTCAATCCTTTGCGTTAATACCGCTGCTGCTCATTAATTAGTATGTGATTGCTTGTTGATGATGTTGTAATAGGATGAACGTTATATGAAACCTGGGCTTGCTGACATGAAGAATGCTATTGTGGTGCCACACATTGCTTCTGCTTCAAAGGTAAAATTGATGAAGATAGGTATAAGTGATGGTTAAGGAAATTTATATTTGTTCAAATTGTTATTCTCATGGTTGGGCAGTAGAGATTCTAATTATTTCCCTTTTCACCATGCAGTGGACTCGTGAAGGAATGGCTACATTAGCTGCTCTAAATGTCCTGGTACCTACGCATCAAAAGAAGCAGTGACTTCAAATCTTTTATGTTTAATTATGGCTGGGATTTAGTTTTTTGTTTTGTTTTGTGACAGACTATCACAATTCTAAATACTATCCCTACTTTCCTCTCCATGCCACAGGGCAAGATCAAAGGATACCCTGTGTGGGGTGATCCAAACCGAGTTGAACCATTCTTAAATGAGAATGCTCCACCCCCTGCTGCAAGTCCCAGCATTGTCAATTCAAAAGCCTTAGGTAATAAGCGTTCATATTCCTGATGCCATCACATTCTTAACGTAAGATCTTCAAGTGTATGACCTTATCAATGATGTTTTTGACCTAGGTTTACCTGTTTCCAAGCTTTAAAAGGGGGTCTCGCGGCAGGAACGATGTCCTTGTAGAAGCATTGACAACAATGTATATTTTGCATCTAGCAAGTACTTTGCTTTCTTGCTTGCTTTACTCACTTGTGCACTCCTTTTCTTTTTCTTTTTAGAAACAATGTATTGTACGAACATTATATTATAATCTTTATAATTGCATCAAATATCTACTCTGTTTTTGTCCTAGTCTATCAAAATTGTACGCATAAATTCACAATATTTTGTATGTTTGTGATTCAAAACATATCATCTTTTCTTTTCCTAACAAAAGGATTAAGTTAAGCTATTCCAAAAAGGGTGGGGATTATTTTTAATACAAATTAAAAGTTGGAGTAATATTTCATATATATTACAAGGGTTAGCAATAAATCTGAAAAATATACACAAATTTTATAAACAAACAGGAAATCATAAGTCTGAATGGCAATCTTGCAAATAATCTGAAGAGGCAAGGACAGGATCGTCTCAAAGAATTTGGATTTCAGCATGGATTCGAAAATTGAAATCCAATTACGGAGCGGTTCGGGATTCTATTGCATAAAACGTCGCCGTTCACGGCCCAACATTACGATAAATACAGGACTGGGTCCCCCTCTTTTCCCCAATTATTATTCGGATACTCTTTCTCTGTCCTAGGGCTCGAGTCTTGAACCCAATCGATTCCTGCAATGGCGTCGACATCGAAGAAGATCATGTTGAGGAGTTCCGACGGAGAGACGTTCGAAGTGGAGGAAGCGGTGGCCGTGGAATCTCAGACGATCAAGCACATGATTGAGGACGGCTGCGCCGATAACGTGATCCCCCTTTCGAACGTCACCAGCAAGATCCTTTCCATGGTTATCGAGTACTGCAAGAAACACGTCGAGGCTGCGGAAGCCGTCGAGTTGATTAACAGCTGGGCCGATGAATCTGAGAACACACTCCGTGATCTGGAGAAGGACGTCGAGGAGAAGATTAAGAACTGGGACGCCGAATTCGCCAAGGTTGATCAGAAGACACTCTTTGATCTGATCCTGGTTAGTGCCTATTTTACTCTTTTTGCTGCTTGATTCATTCTAATATAACCGTTTTTCTATTGTTTTATTTGGGATGGCAATTGTAAGTTGTAATTTTTGTGTTTTCACTATTTTGTCATGCACTGTTTGTATCCATAGGAAGGAATAGAGAAGTATTTGTGATAATAATTGAAATTCCTGAAGAGGGTTTTGTTGTCTTGTTGAGCATTATGTGTTTATTGTCCAGAAATTGCATATTTTGCGTTGTGTTTCCTCTAATTGTTTTGACTGCTCTAATATATATATATATATATTTTGTTGTCTTGTTGAGCTTTATGTGCATATTATCTACAGAAATTGTATATTCTGTTTTGTTTGTGTGCTGTAATTGACATGGTTATGTTTCTAATTTGACTACTGATTTTGGGTCTATCAGTGTTGGCGTATTTGGTTTCTTAGAATATGTGCCTTCTATTATAAATTAATTTTGAAGTTTCCGTTCTTTTGTCTTAGCTTTGCTCTCAATAATATGCTTGTATTAGTACGAATAGGTGAATATATGAATGCGCTGCAGAAAAAATCTTTGCTCATTCATGAAATTGATTTAAAGATTCTTTGTATGCCAATTTCTTCTTCTGGGGTAATTGCAATTATAAGTCAGTTTCTGATAAAGATTGATTGTATGCCGATTTTTCCTTTTATGGCTTCTTTTGGATGTTCAGACTTGATAAAATTTAATGCTGTGTAACAGGCTGCCAATTATTTGAACATGAAGGACTTGCTGGATTTGACTTGCGGAACCGTGGCAGACATGATCAAGGGAAGGACTCCAGAGGAGATCCGCAAGACTTTCAACATCGAGAATGATTTTACTCCACAGGAAGAAGAGGATGTGAGGAGAGAGAACCAGTGGGCTTTTGAGTGATAGAGGACCCGTGTTAGATATATATTACCATTAGGCTAATATTTTTGTTTCTTAAGTAGCTAGTTTTATTTCGGATTTGCTCAAGTTAAATGTTGTGAATCTCTTTATTTTGGTAATTAATATATATTAGAGCCTTTATATTTGAATTTTGAAAGCATTTTCCGACTTCCATCTTTGGATTACTGTTGTTCATGCAATGTCTATGCCTGCGTTTTGTATAAATCATTTGTTAAATTTGGTTTATTTTTCAAGAAACAAGAATGAGAAAGAATCATAAGAACAAAATGTTCTTTGGTTACTAAGAAAGTTCCTATATTCGTTATTTCTTTTCTAAGAGCTGGTAGGAGAGGACGAGTGAAATTGTTCCCTCAATGAAACAGGGTTCTAAATGGCTGGTGTGGCCGTGGACAAACCAGGAGACCCTCCAATACACAACTGGGTATTATTGTACTACCCTACCGATCTTGATTGGGTATTATAGAATTTTTACAACACCAGTTCTAAAGCCCATGATGAAGAAGCTGGAGGCATGATTGAGACAATTTATAAACCAACAAATGGAATACCAACACATATCCTTGGATGGACTAGTTTTGTTCCTTGGCAACGATCCCATATTGCTTGGGAGAAGATGACGAGGAAGTTGCAGCATCAAATTTGAACTCTCGCGTCCAAGTTTCAATCTTTTCTTGAGTTCATTGTGTATTCCGTCTATTCATTAATAGTTGTTTGCTAATGTGTTGTATTCTAATGGAGGGATAAAGAAAGGTAGAAAGCAAATGGGTGCGCATGAAACCTTCTACAATGATAGATTCTTGCACTGTACTTGATGTTAACGGGGGAAAGGAAGAAGTTCCATTCAGTGTTGAGATCTATAAAAAAAAATTGATTGATGGAATTAGAAGTTATGATGAAGTGGAAAGGCTAATCTGGAGATGCATGATAATAAAGGTTTCAAGATGAATGCTAAGTACACTCGATAAATTATCTAAAAGAAATTAAAAGATGTAAAAAAAATTTTAGTCCACACCAGTCGAGTGCAGAATGCAGAAACACTTGACCCCATCCTAAAGTGTCCGCTGTGTGTGTGTGTGTTTTTAATTTTATTTTATTTTCGCTAAAAAGTGTCCGTAGTTGAATTGATGCAAACTTGTACAATTCACTAATGATTAAGTGTTGTAAACGAAATGCAAAGATGGAATTGAGTCTGACCAAGTTGCCTTCTGTAGTTTTATTGATGAACAGTGGACCTTTATAGAGTTAATGTTGAGATAGATAGACATTGACTTGTAGGCCAAGTTTCACATCTTCAGTTGGTGAATGAATGACATACAATCTCTTTTTTTTTTGGTAGAAAAAGGAGATAGCATAGATAATTAACTAGATACAGTAGTCCTGGGAGTCATATTCCCAATAACATCCAAATACAAAACATTACAAAGATCAGAAGGACATTGATTCAGCACAACAAAAGGAGAGTTCGACTTTGTACCCTTCTTAGCCAACTTGTCAGCAATACTGTTGGCTTCTCTGAACACATGTCTAAGCTGAAGGCTGGTGACTTGGGACATCATATCCCTGCAATCATCAATTAAAAACCCCAGTGAGTGAGAATCAGAATTAGCAGATTCAATCAATGTTTTTGCAACCATAGAATCGGTTTCAACAATGAGCTGGGAAAATCCCTTGTCCATGGCCAGTTTAAGGCCCATAGCTCAACCGAAAGACTGGAAGTATATCCAATATTCCTGTAAAATCCCAACAGCTAGTTTCCAAGATCATCTCTGAAAATTCCTCCGGCACCAGCATTTCCTGGGTTTGTCACAACTGAACCATCAGTATTCAACTTCACAACACCAGGAGGGGGAGGGTTCCAACCAACAAAGACAGTATAAATAGTTTTAGTATTTAAGGAAACTGGATGAAGCTGCTTATACTCATTGATTTTTGACAAGATGAAATCCCTAGCCATAACCAACGAGAAATTCTTCTTCTCATGAACCAGAAGATTTCGAAAATACCAAAGGGACCAAATGATGTACGAGAAGGAAGTACTCCATCCCTCAAAACCAGAAAATTTAGATTGATTAAAATGAGCAAAGAGCCAGTCATCAAAATCAAGATCGTGAAAAAGATTGTTAATAGGATGAGGAGTAAGGAGACTCCACAACAATTTGGCAAGGAAACCCTCCCTAAAGATATGATTGAGAGTTTCAGGAGCCTGGTGACATCTGGGACAAGTATTAGACTCCACAATACCCCAGTTGAAAAGAGTGTCATAAGTAAGCTATCTGCCATGCTTCAACAGCCATATAAAATTCTGAATTCTAGTAATGGTATCCATATCCCAAATCCAGGACCAAGAACACTTGCTGTAAAAAGGCAGGTTCTTAGCCAGATAATAAGCAGATTTAGACTTAAAAAGACCATTGCTAGAGTACCCCCAAATAAATGTATCAGTTCCAGCATCAGAGAATTTAAAAGGAATGGCCCTTAGCCTATTAACAATATCAGTAAGGAGTGAATATGAGATCAAATCACAGTTCCATTCCCCAGAGGAAAGAAGAGCATCTCTAACAGTAATGTTAGGTGCATTAACATGGTGTGGCCCATAAATCACAGAACTAAGGGGATCCTTACCCACCCATGTATCATACCAAAAGGAGATTTTATTGCCCATACGAGGAATCTATTTAATACCCTTATCAATGATGTGTTTCCCCTTTTTATATTTTTAATCACTGGGGAGGCCTTGTCCAAACTGCTATTAGGCTCAATGATATTAAATTTGTCCCGAAAGGCCTTCGCCCAAATGTTATCTTTTTCTGTGAGCATACGCCAATGAACTTTGGCCATAGCAATTTGATTTGCTTCCTTAGAGGAACAAATACCAAGCCCACCAAATTTCTTAGGCTGTGTAATTTTATCCCAAGACACAAGATTTTCTCTTCTTTTTTGGGGGTGGAACCCCAGAGGAACTGTCGAGATAACTTATCCAACTCTGCATGAGTTGCTGCTAGGAGGAACATACCTTGCACATAATAATATGAAATGGATGACAGAACTGAAGAAACAAGAGTAGTCCTACCCAAGGTTGTCAAAAACGAGATTTTACTTGAGATCGGAAAGGGTAGATAAGATCGCAAATCGTAAGATCGCAAATAGGATCGTAAGATCGCAAATAGGATCGTAAGATCCTAGCAAATTTAACAAAAAATTATAAACTATGTAAACATTTTAAAATAAATTGTTAAGTTTGTTCATTGATGAAATAAGTCTAAAATGAAATATTTAAAATTTCAAATATGAAGTACTTAATACTTAATAGTTCATAATATAATTTAAAGGCTAACAATAATTGCATATGGTAAAAAAAAAAAATCAAAATAACAACTCAAAAACCATCCTTCATATCATCATTTTCTTCAGCTTCTATGTCTTGATTTTCCTCATCATCCTCATCATTAACAAAAGTGGTCTCCACTGAATCGTGGTTCTCCAATTCATCTTCTTTGTCATCTTCTACAAAATCATCTTCTATGTCATCTTCGCTTTTAGGATCTATTAATTCCTCATTTGTTTGGGAATCAGCTAGCCATTCGTCATTTGAAGAGATATCATCTAACTCAACTTTCTTCCTCACTTGTTTGTCTTTCAATTTTAAGTTGCACATAACAAACACTAAATCATTCATTTTCTTTTGATGTAGATGATTTCTCCTTTTTGTATGAACCTATAACAATTCATTTGTTATAAAATATTAATAAAAATTAAGAAATAACAATGTAAAAAACTAAGTATTAATTAAATTAAATTTAAAGGATAATAAAATTTTACCATCTCA